TACCCTCAGTCTTGCCATCATCCACAAATGTACCACAAATTCTGAATATCAGTATGAAGAATTCTGAAAAGCCCTTATCTGACCATGATCCATAGGCTTTTTACCTCTCCCTCTGCCTTCTCTTACAAAGCTCTACTATTTGTAGCACCCTGATCTCTAATCACTTGATCCCTCAATAATCTTCCAGGTCATCTCTTCTGCACTAGACATTCTCTCCTTTTCTCTCCCTCTTGACCTCTTGGTGAACCAATTCAACTCTACTGTCCTTTTCTTTTGAAACTGTGGCCCTTCTTCCATATCACCTATTATGCCCAGCCAAGTCTCAGCCTTAGACCACACCCACTATTCATCACCTCATCTATGTAAGTGCTGCTGAGGAAAGATGGAGAAAAAGCACACAATCACTCTGGCTGAGATCATTGCAAATTTATGTTATGTAACCTCAACTGGGTGCTTACCACTGCTAGGCAATCCTACTATATCTCCCTTATGAATTCACTATTCCACCATCCATATCTTCCAAACCTTCTCAAACCTTCAATGTATGCCCCTCCTCCTCCTACTTTTTTTTCGCTGAGTACCTTTTATCATATTTTATAAGAAGCAATTGAGTTCATTTGCCATGAACTCCCTCTTCAACTCCTTTCACTCAGGTGCCTTCTGCCTCTTTCTTCTTCTTTACCCCTGTTTCCAGTAAGTGCCCTTACTCCTTACCAAGGCTAATCCCTCTGTACTTGTTCAAATGATCTCATTCCATCCTGTCTTTTCCAATAGAAGGCTCCTCTTTCATTCCCAATCTTTCACTTATTTTCATCTCTTCCTCTCTACTGGATCATTTCCTACAAACATGCCTATGTTTCCTCTATCCTCAAAAAATCCTCCCTTGATCTTTCTACCCCTGCCAACTACTGGCCTTTGCAGCTAAACTCTTTGAAAAGTCTATCTACTTGGAACCCTTCACTTTCTCTCCTCTTACTAATCCCTTACAATCTGGCTTCTAATCATATCATTCCACCAAAACTACTGTCTCCAAAGTTACTAATTATTTCCTATTTGCTAATTCCAACGGCCTTTTCTCAATCCTCATTCTCCTTGACCTCTTTGTGGTCTTTGACATTGTTGATCGCTCTCGCCTCCTTGATACTCTCTACTTTCTAGGTTTTTAGATCACCTCTCTGGTGGTTTGCCTCCTGCCTATCTGACCACTTCTTCCCTGTCTCCTTTGCTGAATCCTCCTCTAAGTTATGCCCTCTAACCATAGATTTCCTTCAGGCCTCTGTCCTCAGTCCTCTTCTCTTCTCCTTCTTTACTACTTCACTTGGTGATTTCATTAGCTTCCATGGATTTAATTACTATCTCCACGCTAATGATTCTGAAATCTTCCTATCTTACCCCAATCTGGCTGCTGACTTCCAATCCCGTATCTCCAACTGCCTTTCAGATTTCTTAAATTGGATATCCAGTAGACATCTTGAATTTATTATGTCCATAACAGAACTGATTATCTTTGCCCCTAAACCTTGCCCTTCTCCTACATTACCATTTACTTAAGAGGGCAACACTATCCTCCCAGCCTCTCACGCTCACAATGTAGAAGTCATCCTGAATCCCTCATTATCTCTCACCCTCCACATTCAAGCTGTTTGAATACATCCCTTTGTCTTCCCTGACACTGCCACCATTCTATTGAAGGCCTTCACAGACTGCTGGTGGGTCTGCCTGCCTACTCCAATCCATTCTGCATTCAGCCACTAGTGTGATTTTCCTAAAATGCAGATCTGATCATATCACCCTCTATTCAATAAACTCCAGTGGCTTCCTATTGCCTCCAGGATCAAATGCAAAATGCTCTGTTTGGCATTCAAAGCCCTTCATAACCTAGTCCCCCCTACCTTTCCAGTCTTCTTATACCTTATTCCCTGACATGTGCACTTTGATCCAGTGACACTGGCCTCCTGACTCTTCCACAAACAAGACAATCCATCCCTTGACTCAGGGCTTTTTCTCTGGATTTCCCCCATGCCTGGAATGTTCTCCTTTCTCTACTCTGACTACTTATCTCTCTGGCTTCCTTTAAATCCCACTTTCTAAAGGAAGTCCTCCTCCATCCCTCTTAATTCCAATTATTTTCCACCTTTAATTATTTCCTATTTATCCTGTATATAACTTGTTTTGTATATATTTGCTTGAATGTGGTCTCCCAAATTAGATTATCTCAAATTAGATTGAAAGTTCCTTGAGGGCAGGGACTACGTTTTGTCTCTTTTTCTATCTGCAGCATTTAGCATGGTGCCTGGCACTTAGCTAATAATAAATGTTTATTGAGCAAATGAATGCAAGAGTGATAAAGAGCAAGCCTAAACTGGATTCAAGCTCTGCCTCTGAAACTCTTGCTCTGTTACTTTGGGAATGACACTTAACCTTTCAATGTCCTCAGGCAACTCTGTGGTTCATAAAATTGTAGATCTAGGGCTGAAAGAGACCTCAGAAGCCACCTATTCTAACCACCCCAAAGCTGCTGATCTACTTTGGTAGAGGAAGCATGCTTCCTGTCCACTTATCATCCTTCATTCTTGTTTCGTGACCACCCCATCTTCTAATCTTTTTATATTGTTTCCCTGATAATGTATTTTATTTCTATTCTTCTTTGGAGGACCTTATTGGTTATAGGTGGCAGTCAACTAACATCTACCATCAGTGTCTCCTTTGCCATGTGAGATACTCATTTTAACTTTTTTTGGACGCAGTTGAATTCTGAATTTCTCTGCCATGCAGCAAAACTGGTAGAGTGTCAGTATTTTTTCTGTAAAGCCATCTAGACTTCTCTCTTCCTCCTCTTAATCTCTGAGGCCAACTCATTGTCCATCTGTACTCTAGTGGCACAGTAGATAGAGTGAATCAAACACTTACTAGCTATGTGACCCTGGGCAAGTTGCTTTACTCTTTTTTGTTTTAGGCAATTGGGGTTAAATGACTTGCCCAGGGTGACACAGCTAGTAAGTGTCAAGTGTTTGGTTTTTGGACTCAGGTCCTCCTGACTTCAGGGCAGGTGCTCTATCCACTGCGCCACCTAGCTGCCCCTGTTACTTTATTCTTTCCCTCAGTTCCCTCATCTGTAAAATGAGCTGGAAAAGGCAGTGGTAAACCATTCTCATATCTTTGCCAAGAAAACCCCAGATGGAGTCATGAAGAGTTGGACATGACTGAAATGACTAAAAAACTCTCTGTCTCAAATACACATACTAATGGACAAGCTCTATAGACTGTCCATCCAAATGCATGTTGAAATCTAGGCAATAGACATTTTTCATCCATTTAGTGTTTCCTGGGTGATTAGATGATCCAAATTCCTTTGAATCATTACTATTTTCTTCTAGGAGGCTCTGCAGTATCCTGGGGCTTAATGTAATCAGGAAAATTCCAGTTCCTCTTATTGGAAATTATGCTGGGACTTTTCAAAAATGAGATGAATACCTTTGGGGAGCACTTATCTCTCTAGTTTTTATGCTTCAATTGGTTTTCATTATCAGAGGATGTTTGAAGAAGCTATTTTTGCTGTTGAATCTTTTTACATTTTTCTCAATGAACAAATATGTCTTTTCTCTTTTTCCTACTACCTGCCTATTGAAAAAGAAAAAAGATAAACAAAACCCTAGTAACAAATACACAGAGTCAAACAAAACAAATTCCCACATTGGTCATGTCCAAAAATATTTTCTGCATCTTGAGTTTATCACCTCTCTGGCAAGAGGTGGGTTGCATGCTTCATTTGTTCTCTGAAATATGATTGCCCATATTAGTGATCATAATTATTAAGAGTTTCAAAGTTGTTTATCCTTATAATATTCTTATTTTAGTCATATAAATTGTTCTCCTGACTTGGCTCACTTTATTATGCATAAATTCATAGATGCAGGTTTCTGTGACATTCTCCCTTTGATCACTTCTTATGACACAATAGTCTTCCATTACATTCATATGCATGATTTGTTCAGCTATTCTCCAAACGATGGGAGCCCCTTCACTTGCCAGTTCTTTGCCACTGCAAAGAAAGCTGCTCTAAATAGTTTTGTAGATATGAATCCTTTTTTTCCCTTCTCATAGTGAAGTGAATTTTAAAGGGTATGCACAGTTTTGTGACTTTAGGGGTATACTTCCAAAATGTTTTCCAAAGTGGCTGGTCAATTAACAGCTCCTACCTCTTTTCCCGTAGACCTTTCAACATTTGTGATTTTTCATTCTTCTTTTTTTTATCTTCTATGCCAGTCTGATGGATGTGAGGTGGAACCTTAGGTTTGATTAAATTTTAATTTCTCTTGTTGTCGGTGTTTTGGAACATTTTTTCAATGGTTGGATTTGAAAAAAATGGAAAGTTTGTATTTCTTCCATTAAAAATGCCTGTTTAGATGGCTAGTATGGAATTGTAGCTCAATTAATTTAGACAGAACATTTAAAAATTTTGAAAAAAAGAAAAACACCTGTTCATATTATTTGGCAACTTATCACTTGGGAAATAGCTCATATTTTACAAAGTTTTATCAGTTCTTTTAATATCTTGAGACCTTTACTAGAGAAATGATGTCTCTGATATCTCTCTTCTAATATGTCTCCATTCTAATTTTACCAATATTAAATTTGTTTATGGAAAAACTTTTAAATTTTATATAATCAAATTTTCCTTTTAATCTTCTGTGGTCCTCTCTGTCCCTTGTTATATTTTCTAAGGAAACTTGAATTATTTTGACAAATGGGTGGGGGACATCTTGTATAAGAGGTTGTGTTTATGTTCTACTAAATCAAATGATTCTTCATAATAAAAAAAAGTAAGCACAGTGGGATCACATATTCTCCATGTCTTTCAGTTAACTGTTCAATTCAGGTTAATTTTTAGCTTGCTTATTGACTTAACTCTAGATTTTCACTTATTAACGGTAAAAGCAGAACAACAAGTACAAAATGTATAAACTCACAAAGGTCATGTCTGAAAAGTTGGTTTCTGTTCTGCTGCTCTTGAATATCTGTTGCTTCCATTTTTCAACTTGTGGGAAAGTGCTGGTGTGCCCTATGGAGAATAGTCATTGGATTAATTTAAAGACCATCTTGGATGAACTCACACAGAGGGGACATGTGGTGACTGTGTTGGTACCTTCTATTACACTTCTCATTGAACCCACAACATCTTCAGGGCTTCACTTTGAGGTTTTTCCTGCACCATATATCGAAGAGGAAATAAAAAACTTTGTTGAAATGCATTTGAAGGATTTGATTTATATGATACCAAGTATGCCATACTGGAAATCAATGATAAAACTTCATGAACAGAAAAGCTTTCTTAATCAGTTTTTGAAATTAATTTGTGAGAGTGCAGTGTTTAACCAGGAGCTCATGCAGAAGCTCCAAGACACTGGTTATGACTTGCTGATCTCAGATGCTCTGTTTCCTTGTGGGGGTCTGATAGCTGAGAAGCTTGAACTTCCTTTTGTGCACAGTCACCGGTTCAGCTTGGGAAACAATTTGGAGAAATATTGCGCAAGACTTCCACTTCCACTTTCCTATGTACCTATTCCCCTAGGAAGACTGACACACAAGATGACTTTTATGGAGAGGGTGAAGAATACGATGCTTTCCTTTCTCTTTGATTTTGGGTTCCAGTCATTAGACAAAATATGGGACCAGCTTTTCACTGAAGTATTAGGTAAGGCTGCATGTTTTCAGAGGGGCTTTGCACAAAGTAATGCTACTTTTTGTTCTGTCCCTCAAGGGAATTACTGCTCACTACTCCATGCTATAACTTGCTCATTTGAGAACATACAGAGACTGGAAAAGTTTCAACAGAAGTCTTGATTAGTGTAGGGAAGCCAACTCTTGGCATATGTTAACTTTATCTAATGGAACTGGGCTACTTATTTGCCAGTCAAGAACAAGTAATTTTCATTAGAAAAATCCTTGATGGAAATCAACTCTCAATACCAGAGAGTCCTTGTGTTTCACCTGTCCTAATATACAGCTTTATGACTCCCAAATAGACTGTTATAGGACCACCGTTTATCATTCTATTAGCTAATTCCAAGGTTTGGATCATTCATTCTTTTATTGGTTCTTCTGTGTCACCACCTAACCCACCTCCCCACCTCTCAACTCTGAAACCTTAACTTGAGAATCCTTGACATCGAACCTTGCTTATGAAGGGTGATGGAGCTTCTGTTCTTTTCTCTGCTACTCAGCTCTCTGAAATTACCATTCAATTCTTCTTTGAATTTTTGTTTTACTTTGATTACTAATAACTTCAGGTAGGGATTGAAAATAACAAAGACAGAAAAAGGTTAAAGGTGTCACAGACCTTCAGGATGATCCAAGTCTCCTATGCAGAGGTACAGGAGGACTAGATGTTAATCCTTCTCATTTAACTGTTATTTCTGGTGAAACCTTTTGTCCAGATTTAGCCATTGCCTTTAGGGGCCCCATTCTTCCTGGTCTATATAGTCTAGCTGAGACAGAGTCAGCTTGCCAAGGTTATTAGATTTCTAAACCAGAATTGGGATTGGGAGTAGCCAAGGTAAATAGCCACCTAGGAAGTGCATAGAACCCCATCCAGGGATAATCATATAACAGAGTTAATATTATGCACATATTTTTTTCTCTTAATTCCAGAAAATTACACTGTCTCTAATAGTTAACATTTATATCATCTTTTAAGTTTTGCAAAGAACTTTGTATTCTCCCATTCTATTTTCCTAATGCCCTGGGAGATTGGTGCTGTTATTATATTGATTGTCTTTCTGGTGTGACACAATAATTGCCTAAGGTAGGGTTTAAACACAGTTATTCCTGACTTCAAGTCCAGTACTGTATCTCCTCTGCTACATAACTGCCAAATACATATATATTTTTTCTGGTAAATTGAGTCAAGTCTGCTTTACATTAAACAGCTGTATAGTATGTTGAAAAGCATGTTAGATATAGGGTCCAGGAAATCCTGGCTGTGTCAATCTCTAGGTGTGTGACCTTGGACACTTAACACCTTTGGGCCTGCATCTATAAACTAGTCAGTCAATCTCAATATTTATTAAATGCCTACTCTCTGCCAGGCACTGTGATAAATAATGGGGATACAAAAAGTAGCAACAAGTCAGTGCCTGCCTTCAAAACACTCACAATCTAATGGAAGAGAAAACAAGCCAACAAAGATGTACAAACAAGCTGTGTATAGGGAAAATGCAAAACCATTAAGAGACGGAAGGTGCTAGGAGTAAGAAGCCTTGGAAAAGGTTTCCTGTGGAAGATGGGACTTTAGTTGAGACTCAAAGGAAGCCAGGGATGCCAGTAGGCAGAGATGGGGAGCAAGAACATTCCAGGCATGGAGGACAGCCAGAGAAAATGCCCAGAACTGAATGATGGAGAATAATAAATATAAGATAATACTAAATATAAGAGATATTTTATATCTACCTTGTAAGTTATGGAGAAGGGGATTTGTAAGTCTCAAGGTGCTGCATAAAGATGTTGAGATAATTATTATCATTCCCCTCATAGTCTTACCAGAAGGAAAGCACTTTGTAAGTCTTACAGTTTTGTATAAATATTAGGGCTAGGGATGAGACTGGACCTGTGATTTCATTGGTATATGGAACTGCTAGCTGAGTAAACACTCTCTACCAAAGCTGATTGGCAACTTTGCAGCAATTTATAGTCCTAGAGAGCTGCCCAGACATGGTCCCAAATACTACAAAATTCCTGTAAAGGAAAAAAATATAATTGGGAAATGTTTACCAAAATATTAAGATCACCTAGCCCAATGTTCTCATTTTGCAAATGAAGAAACTAAGGCTATAATTAAGAGGTTATCTAATCTTTCTTAAGGTCACAGGAAAAGCTAGGGGACACAGTGTATATAGGGCCCGGCCTGGAGTCAGGAAGAATTCTCTTCCTCAAATCTGGCTTTGGACACTTACTATCTGACCCTGGGCAAGTCACTTAAGCCTATTTACCTCAGTTTCCTCATCATTAAAATGAACTGGAGAAGTAAATGGCAAACCACTTCAGTATCTTTGACAAGAAAACCTACAAATGAGTGAGAAACAACTAAATAAAATGTCATAGGATTGCTACATAGCAGAGTTAGGATTTTGACCCAACTTCTCTGATTATAAATCCAGTGGCCTTTTTAGAACACCACTCCGACTGCTGCTGGAACATTACTTCTTTCTGTGATGACATTTGGAAAAGAAATACCATGTAGCAAATGCCTTTTCTAGTCACTTTCCCATTGGAACTAGCAGGTGGTACTGGGCAGAGAAAAGTTCCTTTCAGTGGGGGTGCTTGAGTGCCAGGAGAGGCTCGTGAAATGATTTTGATGATTGCAGGATCTGAAAATATAGATTCCAGGGATAGAAGTGTCCAGTCTAAGCCAAGCAATCAGCGAAGCACCAAGAGCTTGACTTTTCAGTCTTAGCCTGAGAAAAGCACCGTCACCTGTAAAGATTAGCGACAGTGGAGAGACCAGTTTCAGTTGAACTTTGGAGAAAGAAGTCAGATTTTAAGGAGTTGAGGATGAAATGGTAGGAGACAAGGCAGAGACAGCTTGTGTGGGCTAAGTGTTCTAAGAGTTTATTAATAAAAAGTAGAAAAAGAGAAGCAATAGATGAAATGGGTAATTGTTGAAAGATCTAGTAAAGTGGAAGAAATGGAAAATGAAAGGAAAAGAGGTGTTAGATGAAACATCCTAGAGGTCAGAGAGAGTAGTCTCAAGGGCAGGGAGGGAGTTTAATCTTGGGCAGTTGAAGGCAAAGGAAATGATAAGGTACACTTTTTAGATGTGGAGGAAAAGAGTTGAGAAATCTGAAAACAAGTGTCTTCAATTTAAATAAATAAAAAAAAGTAAAATGAGCATGCTGAGGATACAGATGTGGAGGCTTGGGAGGGGGTGAGGTTTGGAACCAAATAGGGAAAGAAAAAAAGTAAACAAAAGAAATTAATAAAATGATTTCCCCCTGGCTATGTAGGGTATTCATGCAAGTGCTTTAGGAATTTAGAAGAGAGACAGATCAGTTTGGAGAGTGAATATAAAGGTTTCATGAGGGACCTAGTGCATCAGGCACTTAGCACCTGAGTGATCTGCACAAGTAATCTCTGTCAAAGAGAAACCTACTTGAAATGGAAAGAACTGAAGAAATATGATTGTTTCAAGGCAATTTTCAAAGAATTCTTCAGAAGAGCGGCACAGGGTTCTGTGCTTGGTGCAGCACTGTTTAACCTGTTCAGCAGGGATTCATACATTCTAATCAAATCTGTTGAAGCCCTGGGCCTTTTTAGCCTCCCCTTTGCCTTGCCTTGTTAAATAAGAACCTTCAGTGCCAGGTCTCTAAAGGTCTTCCCCATGCTTCAGGCCTTCCTGTGTTGATCTGCTGTCAGGTACATTTCAGTAATTCTGTCTGCTGCCTTTTCACTTATTTTTGATGCATTCCTTTGTGTCCTGAGGACTTTTTCTGAAGTAAATCATTAGCAAGCATTATGACTGGTTCTATCTTTGGTGGAAAAATTGCCTCTTCCATCAGCCTGCATCTGAGCCTGTCTCTGAAAGTAATGTGGCACAAGCCTGTGAGTTCTAGGCCTTCGTGATCCTTGAACCTGGTTATCACTTGCCTGCTTTCTTCAAACTCTCTCACTGCAAACTAAACTTCTTTTCCTATTCAAAATTTGTACTCTCCTGACAGGATCCAGGACTGGAAGACAACTTTAGGGAACATCTAAACCAAACCATTTGTTTGTTAGATGAGGAAACTCAGGGCCAGAGAAGTTGGAGCTTTTCCTAGGACACAGGAATAGTACATGGAAGAGCTAGGATTTTGACCCAGGTTCTCTGACTATATATCCAGTGGTCTTTCCAGAACTCCACTCTGACTGCTATTGGGACTAACGCTGACTTCCTGTTTCTGGGATGCTTCCCAAATGACTTTACTGAACTAGGATAAGAGATGGACCAAATGCTTTTTTTAGCCACTTTCCTATTATAACCAGCAGGGGGCACCGTGGAGAGGACAGCATAGTTACATCTTTCTCAAGAAAACCCCAAGTGTCAGAACAACAACAAATTCCTTTGTATGCCCTCCTCTCTTCAAAGAGGGATGGAGTAGAATGCTCCCATGCCATGGGTGTCTTTACTTGTAAAGACTTGGTTTTGGGTGAAGTTTCCCCTCTAGTCACACCCTTTTCCCTTACCTCTCTCTATAGATTCAGAATAGAAATTACCAAGGTCTAGATCACACCTGCTGAACTTGGCAGTAGGTAGAGGCCAAAATTAAAATAGAATAAACTACTTCAGGGGAAGATAGGTATTTAGTGTCTCACTTTCTAAGTAATGGTATAATTATTGATTAAACTGGTTTGCAAATAAACCATATTAAAAGAAAGGGGAATTTTAATTAATATCAATTAATTACAATTTTTACTTATGATTTTTATTCATCATGAAATTTTAACATTAATGTTAAAAAATTACTTTGCTAAGCATTACAAGTTTTAATACATTTTTCAGGTTTTCTTACTGTTTACATTTAGTTAATGGGACGTATTACACTTCTTGTCAGCAATCACTTTATCATACTCCGGAATCATGTTTGAGATTGATTTTTTTAAGAAATTTGAAAACTAACCTTAGTAGCCACCTCATTTTCTGAGTTTACTTTCTTGAAAAACCATTGTTTCCCACTGAGATTTTTCAATAATTTGGATGCTTTGATTTGTTTTTCATTGGTGTCCAATTTGCTTAAGTCAGGATGTTTTGATTAGAAATGGTAATGAAGATTGTATTCCTTCGGAAAGGCTATTACTTCTTGGCAAACAAGGCAAAATATTTCTCGTGTAAGCAGAGAAGTATCTATTAATCCACTCCAGATTAAACACTCTATGCTCAATTTGATCTTCTGTTTCTTTTTATCACCCATTTTACAAAGTCACCCCAAAAACTTTAATGTTAGAACCAAAAAACCTCTAGAGCAACTGCTCACATACAAAGAAATACTTAACTGAGTGTCTGACCTTGGAGAGAACTCCAGACCCTCCTGTACCTTGGAGGGTGACCACGCAGCAAGGGAGGGGAAGAAGCCCTCCTGTTGTTGCTAATCATCCCACAGCAGGCATCAGCTGCATCGGTGCTCAGCTGCACTCACTTTGTCCCTGTTCAATGCCAGTAACAACCAAAAACACAGCAAAAAAAAAAAAAATACAACCCTTGCTCCTTTCAGACTAGAGACAGAATGAGTAGGGTTTGTTGTCACAGGTCATGTGACAAACAAGAGTGCACAGTGGCAACCCATCCGCCAAGTTACATGATGAGCACTTAGTGACTAGTGAAACAAGGGTTAAGTGGGGCATGGACAAATCACTCATTACATCTTTACTTTCTTTCACATCCTCTATATTTTTAATGGACAGCCCAAAATGCTTTGGTGGGCTGCAAGCGGCCTGCAGGCATGTTCTAGTTTGTTGTTGTTGTTTAGTTGTTTCTGACTCTTTGTGACCCCATTTGGAGGTTTCTTGGCAGAGGTACTGGAAGGGTGATACTGGAGTGGTTTACCATTTCCTACTCCAGGTCATTTTATAAATGAGGAACTGAGGCAAACAGTGTTAAGTGACTTGTCCAGGGTCACACTACTAGTAAGTGTCTGGGACCAGATTTGAACTCAGGAAGATGAGTCTTTCTGTCTTCAAACCCAACACTCCATCCACTGCACCACCTAGTTACCTCTAGGTCTAGATATCTTCTTCAGAATAACTTGTTATTGCTATGAACTGTGAATAAATGATTCACTTAGTTAAAACTCTAGTTTAAAGTCTTGTTGAAAGATTTGTCAAAGTATTAATATAACATAGCTTCTGAGCCCCCAGACAAGGCCTAAGATCTGGTTACTAGAACAGAGTGAATTCTCCTGATGTATTTTTCATTCTTGTGTAAATTTCACTAGCCACTGGAATTTCCCATTAATTCCCCTCTATACTCTACCTTTGAGTTCCTTCAAAAAGGAGTACTTGAATGCTTGGAAAAGCTGATCGGAAGGTTTTGCTGATTGTAATTCCTTATAACATAGATTTCATGAATACAAGAAACCAGTCAAAGCCAAGAAATCAATGAAGAAATGAAAGTGATTAAGAACTGAAAAAAGTCCATTACATCGAGAAATTAAGACGTCTTTTTATGAATGGAGAGATGCAAAGTGACGTGAGCAGAAACAGGATATCTATGTTTCTTCTCTAACAGCAATATTATAAAGATGAACAACTTTGAAAAACTTAGGTACTTTGATTAACAAAATGACCAACCACAATTTCAGAGGACTCATGATGAAACATGCTGCCCACCTTCAGACAGAGAGCTCATGGACTCAGAGTGAAGATTGAAGCTTTTTCTTTTCTTTCTTTTTCCAGAGTGTAGAGGTAAGGAGACATGGCTAATTTAGGAATTTGTTTTGCTGGCTTATACATATTTGCAGGGTTTTGTTTTTCTTGCTTTCTCAGTGGAGGGAAGGGAGAGGTGTAAGGTAGAGAATTCAGAGCTAAAAATAAAATAAAATTGAGTTCAAAATACTTTTTAAAATAGATTAGGAAATCTTTTGTCACCATGGAAAGATCAGCTTAGATGAACAATGGAGAAAAAAGTCTGACTGCAAGGAATTGAGGAAGCAGTGGAAAGTGAAAAAGTAGAGACCGCTCAAGAAGCCAAGGCAGCTCATGTGGGCTAACTGTTCTAAGAGTTTATTAATAAAGAGAATTTAGATGAAATGGGTAACTGGATGGAAAGATCTAGGGAAGTGGAAGAAAAGAGTGAAAGAGAAAAAGGAGATGATTAATGGAAGAATCAATCACCTGATCACATCACTTGATCATAGGAGCCTAGGCAGAGGTTTAATCTTGGGGAGTTGGAGAGAATGGTCAATAATATGATAGATTTTTAGATGTGGAGGAATAGTGAAGAGGAACATCAAATGAGGTGGCCTCCATTTAAGTAAATGCAAAAACAAGATCAGCATGCTGAGAATGAGTGGTGCAGGGATAGATTTGGAGGCCTAAAAGGTAAAAAGGTTTGTTAACCAATGTAAGGAAAGAAAAAGGAAATAGATAAAAAAAATTAAGAATATAATTAAAGAATTTTCCTGCAGCTGTGTGGTACATATATACAAATTCTGTAGGATTTTAGTGGAAGGCCAGCTCACTTTGGATAGAGTAAAATGTAAGGGCTTCAGAGTGACAAGGAACGGACAAGTAATTTCTCTGAGCTTCAAAGAGCCTATATCTTTCAAATATATGTTAACTTAGGAGGTCAGACTAGACAATTTCTAAATTCCCTTCTAGCTCTAAAGTCTTTGTTCCTCTGATCCAATGGTAAAAAAATAGTTTGAAACCATAGAAGTTAAGGACTGAAAAAAGGCCTTTGCTGATTAAAGTATCCTAATACTTCAAGTACAGTCATCCTGTCTTCAAATGTTGGATGGCCTTTTAAAACTTTGTCAATAAGAAAATGCCTATTTCTTTTTAATACTGATAACTTTTTTAGAAATTATTTTTATTTTCAGTTCTCCCCATCCTTTGAAGAGGCAAGAAATTTAATATTCATTATACATATGAAACCATGAAAGAAATTTCTCTATTAGCTATCTTCTTTAAAAAAATTAAAAAGAAAAAATATGCTTTAATGTATACTGTTAATCCATCAGTTGTCTCTCTAGAGGTAGATAACATTTTATAACATGAACCTTTTGGAGTTGTGGTAAATCATTGTAATGATCAGAGTTACTAAATCTTTTACAGTTGATTATGTTTAGAATATTGCTAGGTTTTTAAGAAATAAGACTTTTATCAGATAATTTTTTAATAAATTTCCCCTCAGTTTTCTGTTTTTCTTCTAATTTTGGCTTCACTGGTTTTGTTTGTACAAAAACCTTTTTAATTTTATGTAATCAAAATTACCCACTTTACTTCCTGTAAACTTCTCTATCTATTCTATGGTTCTGAACTCGTCCCCTTTCCATAGAACTAACAGGTAATTTCTTCCATCCTCTCCTAATTATCACCCTTTATATCTAAATTGTGTACCCATTTTGAGTTCTTGGCATATGGCAGGAGATGTTGGCATATATCTAATTTCTGCCAGACTATTTTATAGTTTTCCCCTCAGTTCTTGTGAAATATAGTAAGCTCTTGATGCAATAGCTGGGATCTTTGAGTTTACCAAACATAAGCCTACTAAGATCATTTGCTTCTGTTTATTATGTACCTAATGTGTTCATTTGCTTTTGTTTATTATGTACCTAATCAATTCCATTGATCAGCCACTCTACTCAACAAATACCAAACTGACTTGATGATTGCCACATTGTAATATAGTTTAAGATCTGGTACTGTTAGAGGCCCTCTACCTTCACATTTTTTTTTCATTTATTCCCTTGATAGTATTGATCTTTTTTTCCTCCACATGAATTTTGTTGTTGTTTTTTTTTAGCTTAATAAAGTAATTCTTTGGTAGTTTGTTTAGTATAATACTGCATAAGTAAATCAATTTACATAGTGTTGTCATTTTTTACATTGGTTCCACCTACCATGAATAATTATTACTTGTGGGAAGAGTACTTTATAATTAAGTTCATACACTTCATGTGTATGTCTTGGCAAGCTGACTCCCAAGCATTTTCTGCTGTCTGCAGTTACTTTACATGGAATTTCTCTTTCTATGTTTCCCTATTAGATTTTGTTGGTAATGTATAGAAATTCTAATGATTTGTGTGGGTTTATTTTATATTCTGCAATTTTGCTATGAATGCTGATAATCTTTTACACAGTTCTTCCTTTCACTGAGCCCAAGTTTACTTCCCTATAACTTCTAGCCTTTGGTTCTACCTCTGCCCTTGTAGCAGCCACCTCAAGTAAATCTCCTCCTTCTGCCTAATAGCTCGGTAGGGATTTGACGGTTTAGTAGCCTAAGAATTCTCTTTTGCAGCTTTGAACACACCCAGGTCATTCAACCATTTCTCATTCAATGCTTCCTGGTACTTTTCATTCCTGTTGTTGGGGTCCAATTTGTCCATCACTTCTCATCATAACTGTTTTCTAGACAAGGTCAGACCAGGGCAGTGGAGCCACCTCTTCCTTTTTTGCTTTTCTTTTCTTTTCTTTTTCTTTTTTTTTTTTTTGCTAGACACTATATTCAGTATTTACTAGCTGCATGACTAAATCACTTCATTTCCCTGAGCCTCAGTTTCTTAATATATTCTGTAAACTTCAAGGTGCTATGTAAATGTGATTATACCTATACATACATACACACACATATTTCAGAAGTTATCAATGTGGCTCTTAACACATAAATGCACACACACACACAGTGTCTTAAAAGTCTTAGTGAGCTTTTTACCTACTAAAGCTTGAAGTTTTTAGAAAACCCTGCATGTTATTTCTATTTTTGTTGTTCAGACCTGTGATTTCATCAGGATTAGGAACTCTCTGATATTGGAACTCCTACTGGTTCAAATAAGCAAGTTGTCTCTAAATTCTAGTCTGAGAGAATTATCTGTGGCATATGGAGGTTAAAAACCTTACCCAGGGTCATATAGCCAGAATGTGTCAGAGGCAGGACTGACTCTAACACCTAAACACAGGTTTTAATTATAATTATTATTCATTTGCAATAAATATTTTAACCCTGGTCATACTGGTACTACACTCTTGGATTTATTCCTGCCTCACTAAGTGCTCCTCCTCTGACCCTTCTCATTTTGGTAACCTTAGCTGAAATTTCCCCAGGCTCTGTCCTTGGCAATTTTTCTTTTTCTCTGTGTTCTTTTGCTTGACTGAAATGTCATAATTTCCATTATATAGATGACTCCCAAGCTGATATCTCCAGTCCTGATCCAACCTATCTATGGAATTTCATTCTAGTACTTTCAATTACTTCAGAAGTTCCACCTGGTTATTCCTATAGGCACCGAAACTCAACATGTCCAATACCTGAACTCATACTCTCCCTCATTTGGAAAAGGACAACTGGGAAGGTCATAGCTTTACTTCTACTATTTCCTACCTGTGTGACCTTGAACAAGTGACATTATCTATGCTTCAGTGTCCTTATATCTGAAATCTGGGAGTTAAACTGAATGACCTTTAAGGTACCTGATATTTCTCATTCTCTGGTAATGTGATTCTGTTTTTTAATTTTTTTTTTTTATTTTTCAAGTAAGTTTTTTTTTATTATTAATTTATCCCTCCTACTCCCCCCACTTCCACACCCACCCTGAGAAATTTTTTAAATAATATTCATTGATACATACCTGCATGGCCTGGAAAAAGAAATCTCCACATTAGCCACATCCAAAAATGTATGTTTCTTTCTTCATTTCAAGTTTGTCACCTGTTCTTCAGGAGGCGAAGGGTGTTTTCATCTTCATTCTTTTGGACTTGTTGCATTGATCATAGTCCTAAAATCTTTCAAAGTTATCTTTCTGTACAATGTAATCATTGTACAGATTATTCTGCTTTTTCGCTATGAAACAGTTCATAAAGGTTTTCACAATTTCCTCTGAAATTGTCCATGCCATAATTCCTTTCTTTAAAAAAAATTATTATTTATTTATTTTTAGCCTTCTTTTAAAAAATATTTTAAGTTCTGAGTTCTCTCCCTCCTTCTAAACTCTCCCCTACTCATTGTGAAGGAAAGAAATGTGATATTAATTATGCATGTGAAATCATACAAAATATTTCCACGTTAGACATGTTGCCAAAGGAAAAAAAAAAGAAAACGAAAGTGGAAAAAAATTGTACTTCAATCTACATTCAGACTCCATCAGTTCTCTCTCTGAAGTCAACATTTTTCATAATAAGTCCTTCAGAATTGTCTTGGATCATTGCATTGATCAGAATGGCTAAATTATTCAAAGCTGATCATCATACAGCATTTTTCCTACAACTATAGATAACATCAACAATCACTTCCATAAGCTTTTGAGTTTTAAATTTTGCTGTTTTTATGAGGGGGTGGATAGAATAGAGGAAACCAGATGAATGTATAAAAAGGTGGGGAGTTAGCTTAAACAGCAAGAAGACATATCTAACATAAAGATGCATTTGTCTATAAGGCTGTGGAATCATTAACTGTTCTCCTGTGGTTATGATATTTGCCATTACTTT